CCAGGGAAAAGCCCAGACCTGAGAGTCAGACCCAAGTCCTTGTCCTGCTATCTCTAAAACCTGGGCCTAGCATTATCAGACAGGAAAGGGCCCTGAAGAGACTTGTTTCTACCTTCTGCCCCTTCTCCTGACTGATTAATTTAAAAAATGGTGTAAGTCTAAGTTGTGTGGTGACTTGCACAGGAGGACCATGCAAGTTTGTGTCTGAGCCAACACCAAAATTGGTGACCTTGACTATTGTTGCTGCAGCCTGGAGATGTCGTGAGCCTGGACCAAATCAGGTCAGGGCTAGGAATTTTAGTTTAAGATGGAGATGTCTCTCCCACCTCACCTCAAGACCTCTTGAGATGAGAGCATTGCCAGATGTTATGAGAAGATCTTCAAATACTATCTTGGCTCTCATTCCTTCCTTCCTCCTCTGGAAAGGCTTCCCTGATGCCATAGGAGGCCATTTTCTCTAACCCCAAATGGCTTATCTTAGTTAAGGTTATACTCAATACTGTAACAAAAAGATCCCAGAATGCACCAGCTCACATAATATACAAGTTTATTTCTCTCCCATGTAACAGCTCAAGTTCCAGGTCTGCAGGTAGCTCTGCTCCATACGATCATTCAGGGACCTTCCATCATGTTTCTCCACCATCTCCTTGGGTTGTTCTCTACATGACCTAGGTATGGCTATAGCCATATCCTGGCTCTGGCTCACAGGAAAGGAACGGAAAGCATGGAGGGTGAGGCGCCAGCCAGGGAAAGATACATCTCATTTCCCCTCAGATGCCAACAAGGGACTCGATCACATGGAGAAGCCTAACTTCAAAGGAACCTCGGAAATGTAGTACAACAGGTCCGCCACCTGTCCCTCAAAGGAGGCTGGGAGTGTAGTGTAGCAGATCAGCCACTTGCCCACTACTGTTCTATTACTTTGGAAGGAGACATAGATTTTGTCAAACAGTTAACAGTTTTTGCCATAGAGATAAAAAAAAGAGGTTAGAAGTTGTACACCCTATATCTATTTTTCTGGGGTAACAATTATTTTGAATAGGTAACATATGAACAATCTACAGAGTGCTAAAGATATAAAAAAGATAGAGAATAAAAGACAAGTTTCCCTTTCCCTGTCCCCCAATTGCCCACAGCTTCTCTCTAGAGTAACTGTTAGTTTCTTCTGTATTCTGTCAGACATATTTGTGCAGTTATCCTTTTTCTTTAAATGCTAATGATACAATAATACTAATAATAATTCCAGGGAATTCACTGGCACATGGTTGTAACAGCAAAAGATGGGACAGTCACAAAAGGACAAATATTGTATGATTCCATTTACATGAAATATCTTGAGTGGTCAAAGTCAGACAGAAAGTAGAATGGTGGCTGCCAGGAGCTGGGGAAAGAGGACTGGGGAGTTAGTACTTACTGGGTACCGAATTTCAATTGAGTAAGATGAAAAAGTTCTGGAGATGGTGGTGGTGATGGCTTACAACAATGTGAATGTACTTAATGCCACTGGACTGCCACTTAAAAATGGTTAAAATGGTAAATTTTATGTTATGTATATTTACCACAGTAAAAAAAAGATAAGACATAGCCTAAAGGACCACTAATAAGGTACAGTTTACAATACATTCATTCAAGGTTTCTACTAGGAAGAATAAGGCTACTGCCTGTATGCTGATGTGGAGAGATCTCCAAAATATATTAGATGCCTAAAGGGACGGAATTGTGTGCACTGGAGTGCCAGCATTTAGAGATGGCTACATGTGGTGGTTAAGAGTGGAGATTCTGGAGCCAGAATGCTTGGGTTTAAATCCCAGTGCTGCTGTGAGAGGTGCTCAGCAAAATAGAAAAGCATAGAATTATCTATCATATGAGGCTTTACTGTTGCTCCTGATCTGTGGCACTAGCCTGCCTGGGCCACATGTGTGGTGGGGTCATTGTAGGGTGGGGAACATGTCTGTGAGCTCTGGGTTCTTGGCC